GCCACTTCCCGCCGCTGCCAGACGCTCCAGCTCCGCTTTTCCCTCTGACGGGACCCTTTCAACGCTACAAAAACACAGCAGCTGAGGTTTTCCACTATTATTGTTTTTCCTAAACACTTTTGCTGCTCCAAGATACAGCATTCTCCAAACGCAGAAGAGTTTCCCTGATCGTGGAAGTGACTTCACTTAAAAGCCCCGACACCGTTTACAAACAGATGTGAAAGACCAGTTTCTTTTAAAGCATGGGATCCCACTGCGCTCCTGAGCAGCTCCACAATTGCCATTAACCTTAAAAACATCATTAGCTATCTTAATGCATGACATATATCCATTTCCATGATAGAACATCATTCAAACGAGGATTTATTTCGGCACATAAATGCCTTAAATATATGTCACACATGAAACGGTGGAGTGGAGGAGCTGGAATAAATGTCGTTACCAGCGGTAATCTATTCGCTGCGTTTTCTCACCTCACACTGCCCACCCAACCACTGCACTTTTCCCAAAGGAACAAACACGCCCTCAGCTCAGGCTGCAGAGCTGCCTCCGGCTTCCAACCACGACACTCGCATAGGCTCCCCACCTCACATTTGCAGGAGACAGGCTCCACTGTGGCGATTAATACACTACGCAGATCCCTAAAATCGGATATTGTCTGACCAGCCTTCCAAAGAGCTCCCCGGCATACAGCTGCTGTGTTGGAAATGGTTCCTCTGACCTCACTTTCTCACAACTAGCTCACAAGACCAACAGCAGCAGCGCACTGCACAGGCACTGCCTAGAGAACAGGCTGCTTGGGCTCACGGGCCACGCTCCCGGTAGTGAGCTGGCCAAGTCAGAGACCAAAATGTCCACGTTCGCTTCCAAGTCGTGAGGGAGAGCAGAAAGGGTACATGAAAATTTGACTGACAGAAGTCAGGAAAACAAGGCAAGCAGCATGGCAACAGAAATCAACCACCCTGAACCCCTTATAAATAAATGACTTGAGGTAAGCATTGGGAAAAAAAAAGAGACAAAAAAAACCCCCAACCTATCAGCATACCAACATGCTTGGCCAACGTTCTCAGAAACAGATTTAAAGTTTACTGTAATAAAGTACTTCAAAAACAAGTTTACTTTGGCAAGATACAAAGGCAGAGATTTTTGCCAACCCACAATATTGTTCATTGATCCTTGAAGATTTATAGTTTGTAGTAGGCACGGGTGTTGTTATAGCAAAAACAAACCCAGTGGTGTTTGCCATTGCATACTAACAATAAAATGCCGGAGAAGAAAAATGAAGCCAAAGCGTACCACAGAACCCAGGACAAAGGCTGCATTTCACAACTCTATTTTGCTAATCTCAAAAGCTTTCAGCCTGTAATCACGGTAATACTACTAATGTTCTTGTTGTGTCAGAAACAGCCAAGTTCAAAGCAGTCTCAAAATTGTAAACAAGAGTACGTACCACTAGGGGAGTGATCAGCATGCAATTTCTATTCACTTTGCTGTTAAATGCACTACTTAAAAGAAATGTTACAAGAGGCAAAAAAAAAGAAAGAAAAGGAGGAGGAGGGGAATAAAGCTAACAATCACCACCAAAAATGAATTAAGGAATTAAGCAAGGCCCTTGCCAAGAACTACTTCCACCTTAGCTTAGGGGTCCGAATCACCACGCAGTCCTAAATAACAAACTCCGCACTCAAGATCCACATAAAAGAAAGTGTTTTGTAGAAGTAATACTCACACAGTTCAACCACCACACCTGGAGTTCAGTACTGGTCTAAAACAAAGCTGTCCTCAGAGATCATTAGCTAGGTTATTGTATTCAGGCTATGTATGACGCAGATTAACAATACCTGGACAACCACAACTGTGCTGTTTGCTTGCCTTAGAAGGGATTAATTCACAAATGAAAGGGTGAATGAGTTAATTCAAAACTAATGACAGAATATTTCAGAACACTGGCATCCTTGTAGCAAACTGCTGGTTTTGATGTGCTACCTTTGACAGGGAGAATGCAGATTGCTTGGGTTGTTGACAAAGAACAGTTCAACACCTGCGTGCTGCTTCTTGCCTCCTATGCTGTCCATAAGCTTTCTGAAACAGGTTGGTTGTGCTCATACAGCACCTGGCAGAACTCAGTCCCACCTCAATCATGCACACCTTATCATTTTAAAAAATAGCAGTGTCGTGTAACATGCTTCACACCAGCAACGTACGACATCGCCTAAACCACAGCGTGTTCTTCCCCAATTGCACATGTGACACGCTGAATCTCACGCAGATTAGGAAGCATTTCCAGGTAAGTCAGATGAGCAGTTAAGCAGTCAACTCAAGGAGCTGCCAAAGCACAGCTTTGGATGGGTACGTGCCTTGCCAGTGGATCCCTTACAACCTCTGAAACCACACTTTTCTTTAGAACACGTTAGACCAATGTTTTTTCTTTTGCTTTTGTTTTTAATACTTCTATCAAAGCCTGGTACCAATGAGAATGGTAGAGAAAACAACCCAGACAGCCCCAAAGAAGCACCAGCAGTGCTGTGTTCTACAATTTTCTCTCCAGAAGACAGCAGCTCAGGGGCTAGAGAGCAGCACAGAGCCTCTACATCCCAGTCACTGGCCAGCTACTTCTCATTAATATTCTGTGCTGACCCACTGACCATGTAACAGTACCCCACACGGACCACATAACATTACCATCTCAAAACAATCAGCAAGAATTTGTAGCTGTTTTGCAAGACAGTGAACGACAAGCTATAACAGAGTAGGTACATATTTACATATACAAGCACACTGCCTCTACACAAAGCGCCAGCGTGAAGGTCAACAGGTCAAGTTTACACCTCCAGCTACCTCAGCACACAAACTTATCACAGCCTCTATTAATGCAGAAATATCTTCAAAACAGCCTTTTATTTTAAAAGTGAGAAAGATGAAAAAAGGAAATATAGGGACTCCAGAACGCCAAGGTTCTGATAGCCTGCAATTAGCTGTCACAAGTGGTCTGAACCCAGCTCTGCTGCCACCGGTTGTCGCTTGATCAATGAAACACGAAGGAGCTCACTGCATCCAGTCTCCCGGCCGGCCAGCCTCTGCTCTGCTGCACAGCCGAACAGCAAGCTCTGGAGCCGAGAGCCCACCTGTGGTAATCTGAGTTTGGGACTGATGTAACTGGGTAATTTAAACACAGATTCCATTACACTGAATGGTGATTGAACTAATGAAAGAGGGGAACACCATAATTGAACATTTTTTTTTTAGACTCTCAAGAGGCAGACTTTTAAATTACACTTCATGAAGGCAGTAAGACCGATATAACTATTATTCACTTTAAGCTTCTCTATATGGTTTAGTATTTGCAGCTGACACAGTAGACATGGGTGATTATTTCTGCTGCCAAAAGTAAAAATGAACTTCTGAAGGCAAGTAGCAGCGTTTCTCATGCAACACTTTTGGCAGGACTGTAACTTGAGAGGTCATCAATACTGTTTTTTTCAGGACAGAAATGATTCATCCCTTTTCTCCCTCCCGAAAGCACATCATCCTCTCAGGGACAGGCACGATGTTTTTTTTGTACGCAGGTAGCACGATACACTATGTAAAAACATACCTGTGCCTTCTCTTTCCAGTCAGGCTACAAAAGTTTATTTCAAGCACCAAGTAAGATCCAGCTTCATCCCGCGCTTCCCATGCTTCACAGCCAGGCCCTGCAGCCATGAGTCAGCGCGAGCAGGGGAGTCACTGCCCTGGTCTCGTATTATTTCTGGGAAAGGTGGCTAGACAAGCAGTCTTACACACGGGGGTACCTCTCCCTCCCTAGGGAAGGGGCTAGGGCAGGCAAGAGCAGGCCCCTGTCACTAGAGGCCACGCAGTCTTGCTCCCAGGTTCTCCTCTTTCCCCAGGATGCGCTCGGTGCCAGGGGAGCTGCTCGCTGGCAGGCACACTCCCAGCTCCCGTTTTTGCCAGGGATCCCATCGCCTCTGCTGCTGCACAGCGGCTGTGCCAAAGCCCTGCCCTGCAAGGCAGCACTCTGAACAGTCAGAAGTTGCATTACCATTTTTCAGTCTTACATGCAAGTTTGAAGCCAGCCGAACTCAAACGGAAACTGCACTAGCCTTGCTCTTGAGCTCAATCTGGACGAGCTCCCCGAACACGCAACAGCACGCAGTGAGACGCCGTCACCTGTCTGTGCGCAGGCTTCCATGGGGTAAAGCCAGGTCTGCCAACACATGCTCAAGGCACACCCAGACTGCCCAGGGCTCTGGGGGCACTGACAAGTGCACCCCCTCCCCAGCCTGGCTACAGCTTTCTGCCCCACTTGGTTTCCCAGACAGCCCTCCAGCCCCCCGCTGAAGGATGCTGTCCTCCTTAAGGCAGAAAAAGAAAAAAAAAAAGAAAAAAAAATAACCGTACACGGGTAAAATCTTGTAAGAATTCTTAATGTATGGAATACATGGGAGAAAATGTCTTGCCAAAGGGGCAACTGCATTAACTCCTGAATCTTTAACAGCACTGATACAACAGTAATTGGTGGCAATTTTAATAAACTCAGTATGATTTGAACT